GGATGGATGGATGGATGGATGGATGGATGCTATCTAGACAGACAGATAAATCCATAGATAGGACAAATAAGACCTCATCAGAATTTGATCATGCTGTGGAAGCTTTGCCACAGTATGAGAAAGATCAGGTAGACCCTTGAAGATTCCTTGCTCTGCCTTTATTCAAGAACATATGGATGGGAAGAGACCCTGCAGCTGTTTTTGGAAGCCGAGATTACTGGTACCTAGAAAAACAGGTGTGTGTGTATGGGAAGGATGAGCATAACATAGTCTACATCTGGGGCTTCCCCAGTGGCTCAGTCGTAAAAAATGCTCCTGCAGTGCAGGAGACATGGGTTCGATCCCTGGGTTGGGAAGATGCCCTGGAGGAGGGCATGGTAACCCACTCTAGTATTCTTGCCTGAAAAATCCCATGGACAGAGGAGCCTGGCGGGCTATCGTCCATGGGGCTGCAAAGAGTTGGACACGACTGAAGCGACTGAGCATGCACACATTCTGCATCTAATAGGAAAAACTAGCCTTATACTAAAAAACTAAGAAAACCAAATCACTCACTAAAGACAGTGCTTCTCAAAGTTTTGGTGCATCAGATTTCCCTCGAGGGCTGTTAAAACACAGCCTGCTGGGTCTCAACCCCATTCACAAGTTTATGATGGGGCAGGGCCTGCGAACGTGCATTTCTGACAATTCCCAAGGTAATGCCGGTGCTGCTGGTCCAAGGACAAGACTTCAGGAACCATTGCACTGGATTCGTCTCTGTACAGGATTCCAGTGGTGAGACAGAGGAACTGGGGACGAAAATAGGCAGCAGCTACTTAGTCAGGGAACCCGCAGATAGACGAAAGGTTGGTGTGACAGTTGTTCCTACAGGTTTTAGGACAAACTTCACACAATTTACTTTTGAGCAGATGTCGGTTTTACTACAGCCCAGCTACATGGACCACTGGGCTACTACCAGCAGGGGGAGGGGTTTTTTCCAGGGCCGGGGCTTTTTTTTTTGGGAGGGTCCTTTTTGGAAACCGGAGGGGTTTGGTTGTTTTGCCTTGGACCTTTTCCAACAAGAAATAAAGTCTGCTTAGAAATCTTTAGATTGTTGATAACTGTCAGCTGAGTGGATGAGCAGCTTCTCAGAAGTGGTCATGATCTGATTAAAATCCATCAGAAAAATGCTTATGCATTTTATCAGGAATAATAATTTGTTTCCAAGTGGAGGTTATAAATCATAACATACTAAAAAGATTCTGTCTTGAACAAATTTAGAACTTTAAAAAAAAATAGAATATGCCCTGAGATGCTTGGTACTGAAGTCATGGGGTCTGGTAAATGAATGAATGAATGAGGCATGAATGTAAACAAGGGAGCCAGAATTCATCATTTCCTTCCAGTTTCATTAATTATTTTACAAACATCTTTACCACAAGCTATCTAAATATTGAGTTATCATGGACATTCTGACAATTCTGTCCTAGATTTTGGAACTGGTGTACCTCTGTATGAAGTCATATGGGCACCAGGGTTTAACTTATTTAGCATTGTGATATGTTAGAAAGATACTGGAGGGAAATCTCCCAGTTTGAAAATGACATGAAGTTCTTCTAAATGACCAGAGATGGATTACACAAAGAGTTATGTGTGAACTACAGACTCGTTTCCTGTGGGCCGGTGAGTGTACGGAAATGAATTCAGGGAATAAATGGTTAGCAAGAGAGTTATGATCTTAAAAGCAAGAAAATGATCGAGGGGCTATTATAGACCATTGTCTAGAGTCAGTGTGAGGCTGCTGCCAGGAAATCAGCAAATTTTAGATACTTGTTGGGAAAATATTAGAGCAGAAAACCCTACATATTTTTTCCCACTAAATACATATGAAGTCTGGATTTCTTTCTTTATATCCTCATCAGCCTAGTTGAGGAAAGACAAAAAAACATTAAGAAATATGAACAAATCACACTATCAAACATGTACTAATGGCCTAATAGGTACAAAGCGTCTTATCCAGCAATTGGGGAACAAAGTTGTTCTCAGTGGCATTGAATAGGTTACAAAGCCTCCACTGAGAGTAGTTTGTTTGAACCATTTAGCTAACAGGAAAGCAGTTATCCTCGTAAGCCATTCATTTCACGTGAGAAAACTGAGAAAGAGGTACTTCTCTGGGCTTCTGCCAAAGGTTAGCTTTTAACTGTCTGAATTCTGCTTTATGAAGCGATGTTATTATTTTAAGAGAAACAGAAGCTACAAGCAGAGATTTAAAAATTTATAAAACTATAGTGCAGAGGTTGAAAACCATTTCTAAAAAGGGCCCAGTAGCAAATATTTTAGCCTTTGTGGGCCATGTGGTATTTGTTGTAACTCTTCAACAATGCAATGTGAATGAATGAGCTTGGCAAGTTTCCAATAAAACTTTATTTACAAAAAGAGGCAGTGCAGGCTTCTGCTGCTGGCCTGAGATGATGCTGAGTTCAGTATGGTGGTGGCTGTGTCGACTCCTGCTGGGGTTGCTGGAGGCCCTGAGCCCCGGCCCTGGGGAGCCCGCTGAGTAGAGCCACGTGAATGAGGTGCTCTGTGGGCAGAACCTGGTGTTGATGGGAGCCGTTTTCAACCTTCTGCTGGTGACCGTGATCCTCATGGCATTTTGTGTCTACAAGTCCATCTGGTGCCAGGGATAGCTGAGCAAAGAAATCCTTCTATGAGCATTTGTAAACAGAATAAGTTGAGCTGCACAGGGGTCAGTGGAGAAGTTGAAATCAGAACTTTTCTGCTTGGAAATTATCTTTGGTCTGGATAGTTGGTAAATTCTGAATGATTTAGGGAAACAACAACAAAAAAACATCTAGCTGTTATCTCATCCTAATGCTGGAATGCAAGCGGTGGGCCATTGATTCTGCTTCTCATTGTTTCTTTTTATACTTCCCTGGTAAGGGCTTTCCACTAGTGGTGAAGAACCTGCCTGCCAATGCAGGAGACATAAGAGACGTGGGTTCGATCCCTGGGTCAGGAAGATCCTCTGCAAGAGATCATGGCAACCCACTCCAATATTCTTGCCTGGAGAATCCCATGGAGCCTAGTGGGCTAGTACATCGGGTCACAAAGAGTTGAACATGACTGAAGCGACTTAGCACATACTTGTTTAAAGTAAGACCCGAAGCTCCAGGGTTCAATGTGAAGATGGAGTGCTTAAGAGAAAGAAAATATCACTTTGTGAGTGATGTAAAAACCACACTGGAAAGGACTAATCATTAATGTTTGAAAATATTAAGAAGGGAAAGACCTAACACCCTCATTCCCTAATTTAGAACCAACTGGTCACAGTGGGTTAAGAATCACAGGTGTTTGTAGTTATCCCGAGTTGGCCAAAATGCTCCATTTGCAAAGCAGCATCAGCTGTGGGTAACGCAGGCTGCCGCTCCTCTCGCGGCATGGAGCTCTGCGCTCAGACGCCCTTTCTGAAGTTGGGGTCACACAGGTAGGCCTCTGGCCAGGGGCACCCTTGGGTTGGGAGGCTCTGGGGGGCGAAGGGGGCTGGAAGTGTTAGCAGTTGGCCCGTCTGAAAAAAGAACTCGTCCAGCTTGAAGACGTTGACCTCCTTGTCTTATACCAAAGTCTTCCCAGTCCATAGCCTGGAAGCCAGGGCATTTTCTCTGATTTGGAAAAAGAGATGCCTCAGGAGCTCTTTTGAGCCCTGGGTGGGGAGAGCACAACAGAAGTGTGTATTCCTCACAGAATGCAGAGTGGTGGTGGGTGTGTCTTTATACAAACTTAATTCCAGCTTTAAAAATGCTTTTTCTTTGCACTATTGGTGTGCTGGAGTTTTCTTCCACAGAAATGATACTTTTGCAATTACAGTTATTTATTATAATTTAAAGGTGCTAGGTTTAACTTTGTTATTAAATTAAAATGCTAAATTTGTTTGTGCTCCCTTTAAGCACAGCACCGTTTTTTTTTGTTTTTTGTTTTTTAAACAACCTGCACTTAATGTGAAATAACTGATGTGGGATACTGTAACTGTTTACCTAAGGATTTTGTTTGTAACTATCATGGAGCCACCGAAGCATTCACTGTTCTGTACTTTTGAGCAAGATGCCAATTAAAACAAAAGTAAAATCTTTTTAAAAAGAGGAAAAAAAAACTACAAGAAAAGCCACACAAAAGTAAGCAGTGGAGGATGTGGCCTTCAGGTCATAGTTTACTGATCCCCTGCTCTAGAGATTGGTTAACATGAGCATCCGGCTCTTGACTCCGTCTGCAGGGAACATTGCAATCTCACTGGCCCCAAGAGGATAGCGCTGCTGAAAAACAAATTAAGGATTGCTAAATGCTTACTGAGGAAAATAGATGTTTACAGCACATTTCCAAATGGCTTCTTCTTTTGTCAAAGGATGGGTCTTTAAAAAAAAAAAAGATGGGTCTTATTGTGTTCAAATCCAGACACTTAGTGAGCCCAAGAAGAAAGCATTTCATTCTCCGGAGAATGCGTTTCTGCAGCCTTTTTTTGTCTTCAAAGGGCCACCTCCCCAGTTGCCCAGGAAATTGGACAGCTGAGGTACAGACTTTCTTCTAAGCCCCAGTCTTGGCTGTTGGCACAAATCCTGGCCTTTTCATTTTCGTTTGCCCTTTGGAAGCAATTCTGTCATTTATCTACTAGACAGATGTTGCCGTCGGGTACCTTATGCCTGGCTCCAAAGAACGGCATATGGCTCCATCTAACCCACCGTCACCTCGCGCGGAGCCCGCAGCGGGGCCGCTGGCGTGCGGCGCTCCCTGGCAGGCCGCCGGGCCCCGGGGAGGCCGCGCCGCGTCTCCGGACCGCGGCGAAGCTCCAGGGAAGGAGCGGAAAGGCAGCCGGGCCGAGGCTGCCAGCGCCTGGATTTCACAGGCTTTCTCCTGGGAGCGCTTTTGTTTCCTCTCTCTCGCTTCTCACTTGAATTGACTGAGAAAAAAGAGAGAGAGGAAAAGGCATCGAATAAAGGTACTCACATCTGCCTCCGGATTTTGTTCCGTAGGAAACGGGCCACCCACAGCGTTGGCAAAAGGAAGGGCAGCCAGAAGGACCTTCGGCCCCCGGACCTGTGGATCCATCACGAAGAAATGGAGATGAAAAATATCGAGAAGCCGCCAGGCGCGGACCCGACGGCGCGGGACTCCCCCATCCAGAGCTGCCAGGACCTGACGCCCGTCAGCCACAGTCAGTCAGAGACGCAGCTGGGGAGCAAGAGCACCTCTCATTCAGGTAACTGTCCTCCCGGCGTCCGGAAGAGCATCCCGCAGAAACCCCGCGGAGGAGCTCTTGGTGCCACTCTGTGAGTGTGGTGAAAGCGTGGCTTTTTATTGATTGAGTCTTCGTTACTTACATACGTATGTTACATAGAACACGATTTTTTGTATCCACACATTATATTTGAAGGGCTCCCAGTGGCTCAGCAGTAAAGAATCTGCCTGGGTTCAGTCCCTAAATCAGGAAGATCCCCTGCAGGACGGCATGGCAGCCCACTCCAGTCTTCTTGCCTGGAGAATCCCATGGATGGAGGAGCCTGCGGGGCTGCAGTCCATGGGGTCACAAAAGAAGTCGGACAGAAGAAGCAACTAGGTGCACACAGGAATAATTATCACTTAATTGGACACATGTTAAATGGTCATCTTTGCAGAAATATATTCTGCAAATTGAACATACCCCAGAGAATGGTACAATAAAAAAGCCACAACAGTGAAACAAAATATAAGTAAAATTAGCAGCTTATTGATAAATACCTCTTAGCTCAAGGAATTTTTCCAAGTTAATCTGAAGTGCATCAGACTACTAAGTAATACCATCCCAAATTGTCTCCCACTTTTGTGGATATATATACTTGCCAGTCATTTTCAGGTCAGTTACCAATAGTTAAAGTAATCTGATGTGAATTTGATTGATTAACTGGGTTTACTTTCTATTCTATCATCTTGTCAACTGCCTTGTATAATTGTGATGCTTCTTGAAACTTCTAAGAGGCAGGAGGAAATCTGGTTAGGACATATCGAAATGTGGAGGCTAAATGAACCGATTGCATTTTGTTAGATCTTGAACAGAAGTTTTGTTAAGGCAAAATTTGAAGCCATTGTACATATTTTACTTCCCTCTGTCTTTGAAAAGTTGATTTTAAATTTTCTGTCAATCCCTTGCTTTAAAAAAAAGTCACTTCAGGGACACTTGAAGGATGGAAAAAGCAACTATTCTGTTACTTTGCCTTGATTACCGTGGAGATCAACTGTCATTGTGTGATCGTCCCCACACAATCATGTTATATGGTCACTCAGTTTAGTTCAGTCACTCAGTCATGTCTGACTCTCTGCGACCTCATGGAATACAGTACGCCAGGCTTCCCTGTCCATCATCAACTCCCTGAGCTTGCTTAAACTCACTAGCCTAGTCAAATGGAGTCTCTGTGAAGGCTCTGTTGATATACAAAGTGATCTAAAGGAAAAAAAGAAAACCTGCTGTTTAATGATTTGGTGTAGAACAATCCATGTCCAGGAATAACTGAGAAATAAACAGAAAATGGTTGTTAGGATATTTCACTTTCCATGGCCTCTTAAAGTTTCAAAATGCTTATGGGAAGTTGCATAATCAACCCAATACTCTCATCAAGAAATTGCTTGGTCAGTTCATTGGGTATTTTCAGAATCAGTAGCTGGTTTTATTTTGGTTTGGTTTTTTTGAGTAGGAAATTAGAAGTGTATTATACCACTGCCAAATATATTAATAATCCAAATAGACTTTGGAAAACACAACTGTATGAGTAAGCCTTATGAATCAGTTGTCTATGGAAATAATTAGATTCAATAAAAAAGTGCTCAATCATTTATTCATTTATCTGGATTATTTTTCTCCAGACAATTTAGCTGTTTTTTTTTTAAACAAATTTTATTGTAGTATAGTTGCTTTACAATGTTATTTTCTGTTGTACAGCCAAGTGAATTAGCTATCTATATACATATATCTCCTTCCTTTTGGATTTCCTTCCCATTAGGTCACATTGAGCATTGAATAGAGTTCACTGTGCTATACAGTAGGTTCTCATTAGTTGCCTATTTTATACATCATATCAATAGTGTGTGTGTGTATTGATATGTGTATATATATGTGTATATATACACACACATATATATACATGCAGATTGATACAGCTACTAAGAAGAACAGTATGGAGGTTCATATATATATATATATATATGTGTGTGTGTGTGTGTGTGTGTGTGTGTGTATATATATATTTATTTCTCCTTGGTAGCCATACGCTTGTTCTCTATGTCCATGTCTGTGTTTCTACTTTGTAAATAACATCATCTATACCAATTTTTTCAAATTCCACATACACGCGTTAATATACCACATTGTTTTTCTCTTTCTGACTTAACTTCTGTCTATCTGACCTTCTTTAGGTCCATCCACATCTCTACAAATGACCCAGTTTTGTTCCTTTTTATGGCTGAGTAATACTCCATTTTATATATGTACTATATCCTCTTTATCCTGAACATTTAGGCTGTTTCCATGTCCTGGCTATTGATCATGAGGTTCAGTCCCTGGGTCAGGAAGATCCGCTGGAGAAGGAAATGGCAACCCACTCCAGTGTTCTTGCCTGGGAAATCCCAAGGACAGAGGAGCCTGGTGGGCTATAATCCATGGGGTCGCAAAGAGTCAGACACAACTTGGTGACTGAACATATATGCATAGAAGGAACCTCCATACTGTTCTTCTTAGTAGCTGTATCAATCTGCATTCCTACCAACAGTACAAGAGGGTTCTCCTTTCTTCACACCCTCTCCAGCATTTATTGTGTGTAGATTTTATGATAGTCATTTTGGCTAGTGTGAGGTGATGTCTCCGCCACCCCACCTTGTAGTTTTGGTTTTTCATTTCTCTAAGGATTAATGATGTTGAGCATCTTTTCATGTGTTCGTTGGCCATCTGTATGTCTTCTTTGGAGAAATGTCTGTTTAGGTCTAAAAAGGTCTCCCGCCCATTTTTTTGATTGGGTGGTTGGTTTTTTGGAGCTGCGTGAGCTATTTCTATATTTTGGAGATTAATCCTTTGTCAGTTTCTATATTTGCAAATATTTTCTTCCATTCTGAGGGTTGTCTTTTCATCTTACTTATGGTTTCCTTTGCTGCACAAAAGCTTTTAAGTTTAGGTCTTTAATCCATTTTGAGTTAATTTTTGTGTTTGGTGTTAGGGAGTGTTCTAATTTAATTCCTTTACATGTTCACACCCTCTCCAGCATTTATTGTGTGTAGATTTTGTGATCGTCATTTTGGCTAGTGTGAGGTGATATCTCCGCCACCCCACCTTGTAGTTTTGGTTTTTCATTTCTCTAAGGATTAATGATGTTGAGCATCTTTTCATGTGTTTGTTGGCCATTTGTATGTCTTCTTTGGAGAAATGTCTGTTTAGGTCTAAAAAGGTCTCCCGCCCATTTTTTTGATTGGGTGGTTGGTTTTTTGGAGCTGCATGAGCTATTTCTATATTTTGGAGATTAATCCTTTGTCAGTTTCTATATTTGCAAATATTTTCTTCAGTTCTGAGTGTTGTCTTTTCATCTTACTTATGGTTTCCTTTGCTGCACAAAAGCTTTTGAGTTTTAGGTCTTTAATCCATTTTGAGTTAATTTTTGTGTTTGGTGTTAGGGAGTGTTCTAATTTAATTCCTTTACATGTCGCTGTCCAGTTTTCCCAGCACCACTTATCAAAGAGGCTGTCTTTGTTCTATTGTATATTCTGGCCACCTTTGTCATAGATTAGCTGACCATAGCTGTGTGGGTTTATCTCTGGGCACTCTATCTTATCCCATTGATCTATGTTTCTACTTTTGTGCCAGTATCATACTGTCTGAATTGCTGTTTTAAACCAAATTAAAACGTTGTGACTGATTGAAAATGTAGCTGGTTGACTAGGCTTTCTCACAGTGTCGTTTAAACAAAGATTCTAATTGCTGATCTTTTTTTTAATCTTAAGTATTCCTTTTCTAGACCTTAAGTGATATCTCAAGCAGAGTCCCTAGCTTTTCTGTCACTTTCTATCATTGAACCACAGTCCAGTTCCATTAGAAATTAAAATCTGAAATTTAAATTAAAGATTCTTTTTCTCCTATGGCCATCAGACTTTTGGCTCTGAGGACTGGGGGGGGAATCACAATTTGTTTCCTGAATCCTCCAGCACCTTGGAATATATGGAGCAGTGGGGGTGGGACAGAAGCAGGGAGCTTACTCCATTTCAGAAACACCTTTAGCCATTCTTCTTACCTAACTGCTCTTTCTGGTTTTTATGGTGGTACAGCGATTGGAGATAAAGAAAAGATGAAAGGAGAAAGGCAAGGTGGGAAGGAAGAGAGAACAATTTGAAACTCTTCATTGATTTTCTGGGTGCATGGGCTGATCTCAGGTCGCACCCAGATTCTCAGCCTCTTATAAAACACAGTATGAATTATTTACTGGAGCCTGTGGGATGCTTCCTCTGGCCAGTTCCATGATCTGAGATATACCTCATCAGGACTTAACCCTCTCCCACCAGAAACAGATGTACCTGTCCACCTCGTCTTCTGGAGGATCAGCTGCTCTCAAACCTGATCAACTTTCCAGCTGCCCATGTGACCCACAGGAAGCTCCTCTGTCTTTGACAGGCCAAATGATGAGAGTGCTCATAATCCACACTGGCTCATCTCTCAGACATGCTTTGTTCTCTTGTCTGTCTGAATAGACACAGGGTAGACCAGCAATCCTGCTCCCTCAATAAGCTTCTAGCTAGGGAATAAATGAAAGGCAGATCTCTTTTGCAGTAACCTCAAGAGTCTGTAGATGTCTTTTACTATAGCTTCATTTTATCCTAGCTATCAGGAGAGGAAGAGCACCTCTCTCTCTCACTGGAGGGAATAAAATTGTCTCTCAGGCCTTAGAAGGTTTTGCTAATGATTTCTAGGATACCTCCTTCTTGATTTTCCTCCTCATTATATATATGCTCAGATGACATTTCAGGTCAGTGAGACAGATTTTGATGTCTCTTACCAAGTCTTGGGAAATGTTTAACTCCAAATGATAGCCGTTTTATTCAGAGTGAGAAGATACTTGTGCCCATTTGTCTTGAATTTGAAGACCTTCATGACAACTCTGTAGTGATAGAGAAAGCAGTACTTGAGATCCTGTTTGTTAAACTTGACAATACATGAAGTGTTCTTGGTGATGTCCTGGTTAAAAGGAAAAAACTGTGATTGGAAGAATTAATATCATCAAAATGCGCAAATCACCCAAAGCAATCTGTAGATTTAATGCAATCCCTGTCAAAATATCCATGACATTTTTCATAGAATAGAACAAATATTCCTAAAATGTATATGGAACCACAAAAGACCTTGAACTGTTGAAACAATCTTGAAAAACAGAACAGCGTTGAAGGTATCAGACTCTCTGACTTAAGACTATACTACAAAACTACAGCAGTCAATACAGCATGGTACTGGCCCCAAAACAGACAAATAGATCAGTGGACCAGAATAATAACCCAGAAATAAACCCACACCTATGGTCAATTATACTAGGACAAAGGGAGCAAGAATATACAAGGAGAAGAGACAGTCTCTTCAATCAGTGGTCCTGGAATAACTTTACAGTTCCATGTAAAGTAATGATATTACAACATTTCCTCACACTGTGTACAAACACACAATGGATTAAAGACCTAATAAGAACTGAAATTATATAAATCCTGAAAGAGAACATAGGCAGAACACTCTTTGACGTAGATCACAGCAATAATTTTTTGGACCTGTCCTCTAAGGTAGGTCTTCCCAGGTGGCTGTCAGGATCCTGGCAATGCAGGGGACGTAAGAGATGTGGGTTCAATCTCTGGGTCAGGAAGATCTCCTGGAAGAGGCATAGCAACCCACTCCAGTATTATTGCCTGGAAAATGCCATGGACAGAGCAAACTGGCAGATTACAGTCCATAGCATCACAAAGAGTCAGACACAACTGAAGTGACTTCACATACACACACACACACACTCCTAAGGAAAAAGAAATAAAAGCAAAAATAAACAAATAGGACCTAATTACACTTAAAAACTTTTGCAAGCAAAGGAAACCATTGACAGAATGAAATGGCAACCTACTAAATGAGAGAATATGTTTGCAAATGATATTACCAACAAGGGGTTAATATCCAAAATATATAAACAGCTCATACAACTCAATATAAAAAAAAAGCCAACCCAATTTAAAAATGGTCAGAAGACCTGAATAGACATTTTTCCAAAGAAAGTATTCAATCACCAATAGACACATGAAAGATGCTCAACAATTCTAATTAATAGACAAATCAAAATCACAATTAGACATCACTTTACACTTGTCAGAATGGCCGTCATCAAAAAATTTACAAAAAACAAATGTAGTCAAGAAGGTGGGGGAAAAGAGAACACTTGTACACTGTGGATAGGTGTGTAAGTTGATTCATCTACTGTGGAGAACAATATGGAGGTTCCTGAAAAAAACTAAAAATAGAACTAACATGTGATCCAGCAATTCTGTGCTTGGGTATTTATCTAGAAAAACAAAAACACTAATTTGTAAAGATACACGCACCCAACGTTTATAGCAGGTTTGATCCCTGTGTCAGGACGATCCACTGGGACAGGAATGGCAGCCCACTCCAGTAGTCTTGTCCGGAAAATCCCATGGACAGAGAAGCCTAGTGGGCTGCCATCCATGGGGTCGCAGAGAGTCAGACACAGACTGAGCAAACACACACACAGTGTTCATAGCAGCACTGTTTACCATAGCCAGGGTATGGAAGCAAACCACATGTCCGTCCGTAGAGAAATGGGTAAAGAAGCTGTGGTATTCATATACAATGCAATATTCCTCAGCCATTGAAAGAGTTAAATTCTGCCATTTGTAGCAATTGGATGGACCTAGAGAATATTATGCTTAGTGAAATGGATCAAAGACAAAGAGTATATGATACCACTAATTAGTTAAATCTGAAAAAGTAAAATGAATGTATGTAGAAAAACAGAAACAAACTCACAGGTATAGAAAACAAACTAGTGGTTTTCAGTGGAAAGAGGTAAGGGAAGAGGGGCAAAATAGGGTATGAGGTTAAGACACAGAAATTACTATATATAAAATAGATAAGTGACAAGGATATATTGTATAGCACAGGGTATTATGACCATTATTTTGGATAACTTAATGGAGTATTATCTATAAAATTGCTGAACCAGTATGCTATATGCCTAAAACTAATATTGTAAATCAACTATACTTCATTTAAGAAAAAAACAGACAAAACTTCATGTCAATGAATCATTGACTTTTAACTGATATATAGTATTCAGAATTTCAGCATTACTTTTCAGCATATATTTTTATTCAATTTTCAAATCTCCATATTTCATTCTTATTATTTTTATGACTCTTTAGTATGACATTTTATGGAATTATAATAAATTTGTATAGAGACCTAACCATCTTTTTGCAGAATGTAGTCTATTTCCTGTATTTTCATAGTAAGATTTAATGTCTTTGGGGCTTAAGTATAAATTGCAAAGATTTATACATAATGCTTATATACATATATACATATGCTTATATACATACATAAGCATTTATACATAATGCTTAATTCATACAATTGCATATTATGGAGCTGTTAAAAATTACACTGCTGACTTATTTCGGAGAAGGCAATGGCACCCCACTCCAGTGCTCTTGCCTGGAAAATCCCATGGATGGAGGAGCCTAGTGGGCTGCCGTCTATGGGGTGGCACAGAGTTGGACACGACTGAAGCGACTTAGCAGCAGCAGCAGCAGCAGCTGACTTATTTATTGTCAGAAAAATATTTTTCTGTTACTTTTTAAAGAAGACTGCAAAACAGTATGTATGGTATAATGCCATTTTTGAAAAATAAATATATTAATCTTGCTTTCACATATATATATATATATGCGTGTGTGGCAATTATAAATAAATAATAATGGTTCTTTTTGGGTAATGAGGTTCTGGTAAATTTTATTAACATTTCTACAATGAGAGCATATTGATAAACAAAAAAGTAGATATTATCATTTAAAGCATCAATGAAATGAAAAAGGCATTGGGGTTCCTGGCTAGAAATGAAGTATTGCATCATTAATACTCAAGCGTATTGCTTTCCTTTTAGGTCAAGACACAGAAGAAGCAGGGAGCTCCATGTCCACTCTGGAGAGGTCACTGGCTGCACGCCGAGCGACCCGGGCCAAGCTCATGATCCCTATGGACGCCCAGTCCAACAATCCTGGTGAGTAACAGCTGGTGCCACAGTGGAGAAGGGAACAACATCACGTTAATATGAGGCGTGTGAGCTTAGCCGCTCCGTTGTGTCCAACTCTTTGCAACCCTTTTGCCTGTAGTCCACCAGGCTCCTCTGTCCATGAGATTTTTCAGGCAAGAATACTCCAGTGGGTGGGCATTTTCCTCCTTGATTTGCAATATTATATTAGTTTCAGCCATACAGCTTTCTTTGTGTGTCTTTTCTCTATCAACTATCAAAACCTGATTAGTTTTCTCTGAATTTTCTGAGCAAATGGACATAATGAAGAACAATTAAAATCACATCATTTTTATTTGGAAGTTAGACTTTTCACTCTGTTGTTTGTTGTGCTTGCCTCACACAACACGCGATTTGTCTGTGGGCAATCAGCTGATACATATTTAAGAAATTATGGAAAATGAATTGATCTAAAAAGAATGGAAGTTTTGTCATTGATCTTATTCTAACAACCACCTTCATAGATTTTAAAAAACTTTTAACAAGTCTAATTTTCAGACTTAAATAACCTAGCACTCTCGAAACAAATATTGAAATAATCACTTCCTACCCCCTTCATATTGAAGTTTTCTGTCATACTCCCACTTTCACTGAAGATATTAGTATCTGCGAATCACTTCCTTTCCAGTTACCTCTATGATCAATCTTGGTAATTACAGTATCCATGCACATAATCCATCTGATGTTAGTTTCTGATGTTCCTTACAATATTAGCTCTTTCCCACCTCAATTCATCAATTCCATGTCACACAGTAAACCAATTGTACCTGCTGCAGAACATCCATTTCTGTCATCTCCTTTTCTAGCACAGTATTATTTTTCTTGTTTATTGGCCCCTTGCTAACAAAGTTTTAATCCTACTAGGACCTCCAATCCATTAACTCTGCAACCTTCCCACTATCCCTGGTCTTCCTCATGTCTTTATTTCCATTTAAACTCAACTTCCAATCCAGCATCAATTACTACCTCCCATTGCTTGTAAACAGCCTCATCTCCCTTGGTGGTTCTTCCCTATCATAGTTACCACCCAAAGAACTCAACTCTGGTTAAATTAGCTCCTCACCAACGTTGACCATGAACCCTGACAGCTGACTTCATTTTAGAAAGATATGTAGCCTATTTGGGCTTCCCTGGTGGCTCACTGGTAAAAAATCTGCCGGCAATGCGGGAGACCTGGGTTGGGTAGATCCCCTGGAGAAGGAAACCGCTACCCACTCTAGTATTCTGGACTGGAGAATTCCATGAACTGTATAGTCCATGAGGTTGCAAAGAGTCGGACGTGACTGAGTGACTTTCACTTTCATATAGCCTATTCACTGGGTATTTATGACAACAAATTCAAGGTGAACTGTCGTTTATTTGGAAATGCCAGTCATTTCTCTCACTTTGAGAGAAATCATTCATTGTCATTCATTGAGACATCATTCATTGTCTCACTTTATAAGATGAATATATTATATCTATTCTTTCCTTTCTGACTCAATACCTCTCTCCTTTCCCCAGTCCCTGCTAATAAGCCTGCTTCTTTTATCACCAAGAGAAGCATTTAGAAATGGTATCCTTATCTACCCTTCAAATCTAGTGATCTGTTTTTGTTTCTGTGTAAGACCAGCTCTTCCCTTTGAGGACCTTTCATTCCCACTTAGGGACTCTTCTGTAATTATTCCTTTCCTCTCTTGCATTATCGGTTTTCCTTCCTACTGATAACTCCAATATGCATGTGAGCCTTATCTCATAACTCCCTTCTTAAAGCATCTTCCCTGGAACCACTAGCCCATTCCTCCCCTTTCCTGAGAAAATCTCTTAAAAGTTGTCTGTAATTACTTTTTGCTCTTTTAATCTTCTTCATTAGTTTTAATAACATTTCCACAGCCCCTCTACTAAAACCATGGTTGCCAAGATTTCAATGATCTCCACATCTTCTTACCAAATGATCAATTGCCCAGTGCTCAGCAAAATTTGACATAGCTTCTATTTTTTCCTGGAACACTTTCTTCACTTGGCAGTTGTGTTCTAAATGCCCCCAGTTTTCTTCCTATCCCACTGCCTGCTCCTTTTTAGTCCTTTATTTACTATTCCTTTGTCCCCAGTCTCTTAAGAGACAGAGAGTACCGTAGGGCTCAGTCTGCAAACTGCAAACTCAGTCTGCTACCTACACTAGCTTCTTAGATGTTGTCATCTAATACCAATGGCCTTAATGCCATTTGCATGCTGATGAATCACAAAATTTAATCCCTAGATTAATCCTTACTGAAACCCACATCAATTTTCATATACAATATTGACTCACCTTCTTCAAATGGCTAATAGGCAAGCCATGTGAGCTCAACATGGAAATCTTGCTCTTCCATAATTCCCTCTCCCCAGCTCCAAACTCAATCCTCCTATTATTTTTCCCAATACACGGTACTACTATTTAACCGTCTATTCTTGTTTACAAAAAAAAAAACAAAAAACAACTCTAGTTTCATTCTTCTTTATTCTGATTTCCTCACATCCCAAATTCAGTCTTTCACCAAATCTGACAGTTCTTGCTTTCAAAACCCGTCCCAAATCTGACCACTCTTTCCCACCTCTACTTTTCTGCCCTTATCCAAGCTACTACCATCTCTGGATGGCAAATATAATCTATAGATTGTAGACTATAGCTATGAACTTGCAACTCTTCCCTTTTCTTGAGCTCTTGACCTTACAGTAAGCCATCGTCGCTGAAGCTTTTCAATGTGAATTAGATCATGTCATTCCTCTTGACTTCCCATCACCTGCAGCACAAAATCCAGCGATTTCATCATGCCCAGAGGTACCATGTGATCCAGCCTCTGGCATGTCTCTCACACTGTCTCTTGCTGTTTCTCTCTATAATCTCTTTCAGCCACATAGCTCTCTTTGGCAATAACACACATTCCAATTCAGGGACTTTTAACTGTCCTCTTTGCCTGGAATTTCTTTCCATAGATATTTAGTTGGCTTTTTCATCATTTATTCAGGTCTGTGTTCAACTGCCACCACTGTGAAAGAACATACATCTTCTCTGACCTTTGCCTAGGAGCATCCTTGGTCTCTCTCTTCCCTCTTTATTCTGCTTTGTTTTTCTTAATTAATGTGTGTAACTCTCTTACATGCTTTGTTGTGTTTACTTATTATGTGTTTTCTCTGTGTAGTGTAGGCTTTGTGAGAGCAGGAATTTTTCTTGCTTTCATCACATCATATCCTCAGGACCCCAAATGGAGATTGGCACATAGTAGGCACTCAGTTGATACTGTTCAGCCAAATGAATGGACTAATGGTTCTTTCTACCTAATGTATGTGATGTTTCCTCTACATTCCAACATAGCTCCAATGTTACTATAGTAAATGTAATGGAATTTATAACAGATGCCAGTTGTTTAACTCATGGGATAGATACTGTTCTTATGCCTGTTTTACTAATAAAAGAACTGAGGCTTGCAGAGTTTAAGTACATAGCTTACAACCATACAGCAAGTAAGTGACAGGGCCAGAATTTGGACTCAGGACTGACTTCAGCCTTCTGTGCTCTTAATCATTACGCTCCCATCTGGAGTGAAGCTATTGTTCTTTTTCTTTCATTCCCTTCACCATGTAGAGGGACACTGTACACTTAGCTGCTTCTAATTTTTTTCCTTCCAGCCACTTTCCTCTTATAACTAAGCTCTGTCTGTGCCAATCTTCTATAGCTTTCTTCTTAAAAATCAATGTGTTTCACAATCTTCATGGGACTTTCTCTCCCATATATATAACTTCTTCATCTAAGAAGTTCCCATATCCCATTGACTTTTTTTTCTTTCACAGTATCTTTTGAATCCCTGGCTACATTCCCATTTCCAAGAGTCATGTTTTTATTCTTCTCTTTATGGCCTCACCCATGAACTGTCAAAACAGCTTTATAATTAATCTTCTTCCTCTCTGTAGTGCCTTCTAAATGTCTTTGTATCCTGCTTGCCAAATTTCTTCCTAAAACAACTTAAATATGGCGTTCTAGTCCATAAATTTTCCCAATGGCTCCTCACTGTCTTCCAAGAAAAAAACAACAAACCCCTGTGCATACCAGGTGTAAGTCAACATTTCTAGTCTCCTTTTGCTATGTTAGACACCCTTGCCAAGCCAGACCGATCACCAGTTCTCAAATATGCATTGTTCTTTATTTGATTTTCCTTCTGAACACTTTTTTTCCCTTATGGAATGACTTGGTAGCCATCTCTAACTAACAGAGTTCTGTGAATTTTTCAAAGACTAGAGAGGCATTAATGCTCTCATGAATTCTTTCCTCTCTGATTACTACACCCAGAAATGAGGGCTTCTTTTCTCATGTTTGAATAGTCTCTCTCTTTAACACTTTTATGGAATTAATTCCTCAGAGTACTGCCTCATATACTTAGGTATTCAAGTCCAAATCTTCCCTCCTCTAACAGATTGTGTGTTACATGATAGGGAGGGAATGCATCTAATTCTTCTTCATATTCACACATTGTTTAACTCAATACCTAGCATAAAATTGGTACTTGCTAAGTATCTGTCAAATAAATGACTAGATGAAAAAATAAACGTATTATAAGAAGGCCTTGTGTTCATAACACATCAGGGTTTAAGGCTCTTTTTTAGCAGTTCTAGTAGAATATCTTCAAATAAAAACTTGATATACTAAAGGCAGTTAAAATTGTTTTCATTCAACAAGAACTAACGAGCTTAGAAAGAGAAATGTGATGAAATCTAACAAGGTGTTGAGAACTTCTAACTATTATTCACTAGCTAAATACCTTGCTAATTCATATTTCATTTACTCCTCACAATACTCTCATGTGTTGAGATTATCCTGATTTTGCAGATGGGAAACAGTCTCAGCTTAACACACTTCCTTCGGGACACAACTGAGCAGCTCGTGAGTCTCTCTGGTGTGCTTCTTTTCTAAGGACAAAGACGCCTTATATTATTTGTATTCATTTTCTAAGAAC